GGGGAGGGGCGCAGAGGAGAGCACCTGTTGGGATGAGCTCTGGGTGTTATATGGAAACCAGTGGGACAATAAATTTCATATTTAACAAATAATAATAATAGAAAAAAAGAGACAGAAAAAGAATTTTTTAAAAAGGGGCAAAATAAGATTTGGCCTAACGGTATTAAAATTGAGTGTAGGGCTTTTGGGGGTGGGGTGGGGTGGGGTGGGGATGTGTATAGAACCAGAAATTTCCATACGACAAGCACATTAACATCTGAAGGGTGCCCCTCCCCGTTGTAAGAACACTGCCCCTGTGCCAAACAGCATAATGATCAGTTTTTAAGCTGACATACCTATGTATTTTACATGTAAAATTTATGTATACATATTCCCCTTCCTCTCTTCTCCTCTCCGCCCCACCTCCCTACTCCCTAGACAAGGTTCTGCTGACACAAGAAGCGAAGAAATTTCTAAATTTCTGACAACCGCTTATTTTTAGTAGAGACCACTGCTGTCGGTCAAATTAACGCTGAAGCTATAAACAAACCTTTAGAGCTTTGCCTGTTCTGGAAAATAACAGGATGTCTCCCTCCACCCTCCAGCATGAGAAGGAGCCCGTAATTAGCTCACTGTCCATGAATAGGCACAAAGCAGGCCATACAGGAATGCCCACTCCCTTTCAACCTTTCCACGGGAGATCCCGGGGCGGATGTGAATTAATCAAGTGAGTCACTTCCACCTTCTCCTGGGAACACCGTTGTGCACAACCTCTCGTTCCACGAGGGACAGCGAGGAAGAGGACCAAATACCTTCCCGGCCAAGGACTCACAGAGAGGGTCCGCCGAGAAGAGGAAGACGCAGGAGGATGCACTTCTCTCCTCCTGTGGCTTCTCTCCTGGTTCTGGCAGCCCTGAGCCGAGCCACTCTGCTACAGCCAGCACACCGAACTATTTATAGCCGCACAATCATTACAAATAAAGCTGTTTATAACACCGAGCCCCAGCCCTGCATTTACTTAAAACTGGAGACTGGCGGCTATAAATAACTCTGTTACACGTTCAAGTGTGACTACTGACTGAGACTTCCTCAAACTGTGACAAATGATGACAAGTTTGTTTGACAAACATCCTACTGACATTCATCTGATTTTGAATTAAGTGGTGCTGCTTTTTTAATTTGGTCCCTGAGGCCCAGGATCTCGGGAACTTTCTTTACTCTTTCCCTGTCTCGCCTCCTGCCCCCGAAATCTCTGTCCTGTGTATAGCTGTTTCTCTGTCCACCGCCCGCCCCAATCACTGGGAAGGATTTGGGGCCATTTAAGGGGAAGTTTATTAAATCCACCGTTTCTCTCATGGGGCAGTTCTGCTGTGGGGGCTTTGCGAAGGTCCGGGGAGTTTTGTTAATGACACAACAGCAATGGAGAGAGGGAGGGAAATGTGGGCCAGCCCCCAGTGCTGGGTAAAGTTGGAAAGAGGATCACAAGGGAAAGGCAGAACTGGACACAGGGATTTACCTCCCAAGGCACCTGTTCTGAGAGGTCTTGACTGATCCTTCTTTGGGTCCCCCTGCTGGGGTTCTCCCTTTAGGTAAGCTGATAGTAACAAATGTCGGGAGTTACATGGGACCTCGGAACTCTAGTGGACGTTTGGGATGTACCTCACCCTTGTACAGGTAGAAGAGTTGAGCCAGAGCCCCCCCCACAACTCCCCACAACTCCTTAAAGCACAGCTAGACTAGAACTCGGCTATCTGGGCTCCAGGCACAGGGGGACGGGGGCGGGCTTCTCTGGCCATCTTGAAATGGATTAATGCGTGTAAAGTGTGTGGAACTATTCCGGGCGCCTGGCACGCTCCCTGAGTGCTAGCTATTTATTATGGGAGCGGTGATTATCATCCAGTGCTCGTCTGTCTCAATTCCCTCTTTTGAAAGGCACTCTTATACCGCTCCCCACCTCCCATGGGCTGTGTCTTCTCCGTCTGATTTAACTCTTAATTATAACATTCACACCATCTCCCCTCCCACCCCCACTTTTTCCCATCTATCTTAAATAGAGCTTGTAGAGCAATGCCTCTTCCCTCTTTCCAGAACACACACCCTCAGATAGTTTCTCATCCGCTTTGGCCAAGATGCCCTCCTTTTGCACTACAAAACCCTCATCACCCTCATCTTTTAAGACTCCTCCTTGCAAATGCCCGAGGAAGCCTGGGCTGACGGTCGTGCAGCCGTGACCCTCTTTCCTTGGAGTCCCTGTTACCTTTCCGTGTGTGTCTCCTTCAGCACTGACCTGTCTTAATCCTGCGTTAAGGTTACCGTGAACGTGCTTATGTTTAATCTTCTCTAGTGGTGAGGTGAACCATTTAAAGAGTCTGCTTACTAAAAGCGCAAGCAAAAACAAAAACAAAAAGGCTTTGCGAGTGATACATGGCAGTATTAACCAGTGAATAGTTGCTAAGATGTATAAATAAGTAGCCAACCGGGAGCAGCTGGGTGGCTCAGTCAGTTGAGGATCGGAGCTCCGGGTTCGTGAGTTCAAGCCCCACATCGGGCTCCCTGCTGTCAGCACACAGCCTGCTTCAGATCCTCTGACCCCCCCCCCCGCCTCTCTGCCCCTCCCCTGGTTGTGCTCTCCCCAAAAATAAATACAAAACACCAGGAAAACAAATAACAAACCTACAATGGAGCCACGTGGCTTGTAGGAACCCAGCCTTCTGTAGTTCCAGGAAGGCTGCATGAGGAATGTCCACCCGGCAAATGCGTGCATCCTTGGTGCTGACAGTGGAGGCAGATGCTAGAAAGATCTAGAGACGAAAGAGGTTGGATAACTGACCAACCCAGGCAGTTAAACAGGCTGGAGGACAAAGGGACAATATTTCATCAACCCATCAGTCAGCAGGCCCTCAAACATTTATTTAGAGCCCGTGAGTTTCATGACACAGAACTACCCTTAAAGAATGGAGGTTTTCCCTGCCTCTGGGCATGAACAATCAGCTCCACTCTCCATGTTTATTTCCCGTACCTTTCAGCTTTCATAACCCCGAGACCCTTGCAGCTCCAGGTCTCCCGTTGACCCCCCCCCCCCCATTCTTATGTTTATGACGAGAGAACTGGCCAAGCTTTGTCCAGCCTCCCAGTGGGATCCCCATCCACGTGTGCTCCAGGGCCGACACATCAGGCTGCCAGGACCCGAAGCCATTTGAGACCCGCCCCCCTCTCCTTGACACTCCGTGGACTCACGGCAGAACCCACCCATCAGAACCAACCCGCCCCCGGAGGAGAAGCAGATGAGAAAACTTCAGCTGACCAGCTGACCGCTAAAGAGGAAACGCACAAATCGAACATTCCTGCCAGAGCCCTTTCTTCCTCAAAAGCAACACAAACAGGA